TAATAGAGGTTAGTATAACTTATTAGCTTTCAATAGCTTTCATATGATTTCTTTGTTGATGATCATCCCAAGACAATTTTTTCGTACAAGCCTCAAAAATTACCATCTCCCGATCCCCAATAATTTTCAGCCAACCATTAATAGTTAACCATTAAAGTATAGTTATCCCAAATCACCCGGCTCAGCAAACTGGTTGGTGGTTGAGCCACCAACCCCTCTGAAAAATCATGGACTTCGTCAGTTCGGATTATGAAATTCCCAATGGGAAAATGCATGTTCCAAACCACCAACCAGATAGCTATCACCATTATTAAGCCAACTATTCATAGTTTTCCCCATTAAAGTATAGTTATAATCCCCAATCACCAGGGTTAGTAAACTGGTTGGCTTCAACCAACCCCCCTGAAAAATATGAATTCGTTAGGATTATTCCCATTAACCACCAACCAAATGGCTATTCCCATATTATCAGGTCATTATCACTATTATATTATCACTATAAATCATCAAATCCACCAGCGTACCCAATAGCTATATGACTTGGCTTACTGACTGGTCTGAATTCATGGAATCTCACCAATGGTTAGTAAATATTCCCATTAAAGTTATCGAGATATTTATCACTATTATCACTATTATCACTATAAATAGCTATTATATCTTCATCCAACCAGATAGCTATCACCAACCACCAACCACCAACCATAGATAGCTAAGTTGGTTTATAACTACAATAAGTAGGACTTATGGTAGATATATGATATATCGAACTAATTGATGTGGGTATAAACCAACTTATAACTGGGGGGGTACCACATTGTAGTAAATATTCCCATTAAAGTTCTCTTCATCCATCAGAGCCATACCTTCCATCGGATGATCCTCGCGCCTGACTCGGCGGGGTAGCGACCTGCCGGAGTGCATCCGGAGCAGATTTTTCCCCAGGAAAAGTGGTCGATCTGGGGAAATATCCCAATGATATGCCATTAGATCCCATGAAAAACCACTGTTTATTATCATCCCAACTTCAATGGGAGATCTTCAGGATCCAATTGATGGAGGTACGTAAACGTACCATATTTTGGGCCATATTTTCTGGGGATATTCCCTGAAATTTAGGCCTGAAAAATAGGCCGAACATATATGGTAGGTACCTCCAATTTAGGTTCCTGAAATGGCCATCGAAAAAATATAATAAATAATGACATGATATGATATAATAAAGAGAAATATCTGGGTAAATTATGATATTTCACTAAAACCTGAAGAGTTTGGCCATTTGGGGATGATTTCCCTAAAATAAACCATGATTCCAGGGTTCGGGAGGACAGGGTTCGGTCGTGATCAAATTTACCCAGATTTATGGATGAATTATGGACACATATGGGATATTCACGGGAGATTCATGGGGATATGATTAACCACAATATATATATATGGCAGTGTGTCAAAACCTTGTACCCCTGGTGAACATCAAAATAGCTGGTAAATGGATGTTCATCCCATTAAAATGGTATTAGTAGGTATTGATCCATACCCATATATATATATATATATATATGTATGTAGGTGAAATCCCCATCCACCGATGATCCCGATATATATGTCTTGGGAGCCGTGACAAGATCGCCACATCATCCCACAGTGGCAAGATATCCAGGATGGGAGCCCCAGTGATGTTTGGTTCATAAACCCCATGAATACCATAGGAAAACCATAGGAAAACCATAGGAAAACCATAGGAAAATGGTGGTTTAATGGGATTTAATGGGAGTTACCCTCTGGTAAACTAACATAGCTATTGAAAATGGCCATAGAAATAGTGGATTTACCCAGCTATAAAATGGTGATTTTCCATAGCTATGTTAAATTACCAGAGGGTATCTAGTTCGTTATATCTACCATAAACCATAGAATTTCTAGCCACTTATAAACCAACTGAACGCGAGCTCGACTGGGGGCCCCATCCTGTATGATTGGCTATATATCCTCATATTCTAGCCTTCCCAATTTTTGCGTATAATGTCATTGATGTCCCTCAATTCAACTATGATATGCCATTGTATCCAAAAAATAATTCCCGCATAATATTCCCCATTGTTGATGGTTAATCACCATTATCACCATTAAATATTAAATGAATATAATCGTTCATATTTCATTAGTATCCATCAATTCTATCCCATTATATTTCATTCAATTTTCAATTGGCACAAGTTTCATAATAATAACACCATCCAATCTGACATATCCATCCATCATACAATGGAGACTCAACTATGTACATATATATATATATGATATGCATGCATCAGATAAACTAGTTGATGAAGCCCAATTAAATCAATGGATAATTCCTATATCATCAACATTTAGAAATAAACAATCCCATAATTTCTAGTTGATAAAACCCAGTCAATCCGAATATATCCCACATGATCCCAAGGGATTTTTCACGATTGCCTCCGGCGCTGCTTCGACCGGTGGGGAGCTGAACATGGTGGTGGCCATGGAGTGATACCTGCGGCTTCCTCCCATGATTCGTGTTTGTAAAAAAGGGGGAAATTGATGAACATCAGTGGCCAACTGAATCTTTTCTATCGGTTTGGGGGTTACTACATAAAATACACATACATCCATATACCCTCCGGTAATTTAACATAGCTATTGAAAATGGCCATTTATAGTTGATTTACCCACTAAAAATTGTGATTTTCAATAGCTATGTTAAATTACCAGAGGGTACTACATAAAATACACGTACATCCATATACATCCTACTATTGATCTGAAAAACAAGAATTGACAATTCTTTTGGATGGATTCCCCCCAACATTGAGACTTTAGCAGTTCACCATGGGCATCTCAGCACAGGGATTCAAGTCCACAACTGGATTGGTTCAGCTGACACATGTGGATATGAGCTGCAAACCTACGGATGGACTGACCATAAGGATAAGGAACCGAGTTTTTCCCAAACCAACTGGAGGTTTAGTTCGCTGGGAAATTCTCCTACACATGGGGCATTTTTCAGCATAGACACACCATCTTTCCAATGGATTTTCCTACCCCAGCCTCAATGGCTTGCCCAAAATGGGTTGTGAACACCATCCGCACATGGTAGGTTTATCATTGGCTTAACCACATTCGTTGGCTAAATATCTCATTGGTGAATCATATCTGCACCACATCAATATCCCCATCTTTATGTCCATTTTTTATATCCCACATCATCCCACATTTCCCCCATAAATCATCCAGAAATCCACAACCATTGCATGGGTCAATTATTTTTGATGCTGCCCAGTTGCAATTTGCAAGTTTGCTCCACCACACGGTACACCTGGCGGTTGGCTTGTTGGGGGCTGGGGATTTCCCAGCGGCCCGCCATGTTTGATTGACATTTTGGCTTCCAGCCACTGACCAATTGTTGGTTAAACATCCCCTCTGTTGATGCAAATCATCCATACCATCCTAGAGATGCCTGTCTTTTTTGATCATTTTGATCTGTTTAGGGGATACTGTCATCCAACTTCGCCATCATACATCAGCTAGCAATCCCCATGTCCCCATTTTTCTTAGGATTTCGTCACCCTTTTCCACTTGCTCCACTCCCCATCCCTGGTGCTGTCGCGAATACCTTGGAGCCCACTTCGAAGCTTCCCAGGGAGATGAGGAACTGAAGGTATTCAGGGTCCTGCGCCGGTCGATTCTTCATGCAGGATGGGGCCCCCAGTCGAGCGATAGCGTGAACCGTTGCATGAATTCTATGGTTTATGGTAGATATAACGAAGTAGTTGATGGGGTTTACCAACTTATAATTAATCATGACTGGGTGCAAGGCACAAAAAAAGGGCTAAGGAGGAAGTGGTAGTGCGGTTGGGCTATAACTGGTTGATTTTCTATGGTTTTAGGCACCCATGGGAGGTTTATAGGATGATTCTGGACTGTTTTTTGGATCCCATCCACAAATGTGCTGAAAACAAATCCGAATTCGTGGATATTCATGGATATTCGTGGGGATTTTTCAGAAGTGGGGATAGATTTCGGAATTAAGTTGGATTAAGTATCAAAAATCACATGTGAAACCTGCAGTATCTGGCTGTGTGTCCCAGTCACTGGGAAAATGGGCCCAGGGCGGAGATATCTTTCATAGGCTAGACCAGGTTCATCCCACAGTTTGTCATGTCATCATTTTCGCAATGAACAAGTGCCGTAAATGCAGGATGGGGCCCCCAAGTTATAAGTTGGCTTATAAACCCCATTAAATATTAACATCCATTAACTAGTTCGTTATATCTACCATAAACCTTAGTTAAGGCACATATAAGGCAGAACGCGAGCTCGGTATCCCCTTTTTGTGTTTTTTTGACAAAACCCGTGTTTTTGTCATGGGATGGGTTCGTAAACCAACTTATCCTTACCCTTGTGGTGGTTGATCGCCGGGATTTCTGTCGAAAGATTGTGAAACATCTAAGGCATCATTGTCCATACCCTTTGCCAACTTGTGTCTTTGCTTAACATAATAACATACCACAAAATTTCAGATGGAATCCACCCCAAAAAGTACAATCACTGTCCTAGAAAAACTGTCGATGATTCAGTAGATGATCCACTGTAACAAAAAACCATGTAAGATATGAAGGTGCTGCAAAAAACATGACATCAACCAACCGCGACCGATTGCCGCAACATCCTGTGTGGCGTCAGCACAGCAATTATTTTTTGGCTCTCTTGCCTTTGGTATAGCTGAGCAGCTTGGGTTTGGGCTCAAGGCCAACTCCGATCCAAGTCATGTGCTCGCCGGATATGCCACGAGTGGGAGACCCTGGCTTCGGGTCCTGTGTTCTGAAGCCCGGCTCCAGGAAAAAGGATAGCAAACTGTACAGGAATTACAGCGCCATGCGACAACATGATGTCGAAAACCAACAACATGGCATATCTCATTTCCAACAAGTTCTCAGATTTTCAGAAAACATCAAGTCGTCTCAGCTCAACCTTCATGCACCCTGCACTTCTGGCAGCAGTGTCACAGACTGAGGGACCTTTCCTTCTGGCAGCAGCGTCACAGATTGGCCTTGACATTTCAGCTCAACGGCGCGGACCACTGGCGAAGTGATGCTGCCAGGGGGGAACCTAGCGAGGGCAGTGAAATGATGTTTCGGTTTCTTTATATAACATAGGGTAATGATTTAGTTTTGTAATATGTATATGTATATGTATATGTATGTGTATGTGTATGTGTATGTGTATATGTATGTCATGTCATGTCATGTCATGCCATGCCATGCCATGCCATGTCATGTCATGCCATGTATGTAATTAAACATATGTAAATATATGAATATATATATATATATATATGTATATATATACATAATAGAGGGTACCCGGAATTCCAGAGGATTTATCATGGGTCTTCCTGTTAAAACTGTTTTCTTGAGGTATTGGCATTTTTTTGAGACAAACTCCAATCGTCCCAATCGATTTCCCACATTTTTTCGGAATATTAGATAGGACGAGTATAATGACTCAGGAGAGCCATATTTTTGGCGTATTTGCCCTTAGCCCTGAAAAATAGCCATGATATATGGTAGGTACCTCCAATAAATTGGTGAAATGGATGTGGGTCAAAATGGAAGACCTAGGGGACCACAGATGTGAATGTCTAGTTTAGTATTAACCATCCATAATTTTGGGGTACCTAATTTTGACCCATACCCAAATGGCCAGAGTCAAGGAACTGGTCTCCAAAGGGTTCGCCATTTCTGTAGAAGCGCAGGGAGCCATCATTGCAGTCGAGCCTTAGCCCCACCCGATCTCCGGGCACGAAGAGTTTGCCCTTCTTCGCCGCATCTTCGTTCTCCACGTTGCTGCCATAGGTGTTACCTCGAAAAGCAACAGCAATCATAATATTCAGAAACCATACACGATGTTTCTTCCACCAAAACCACCCATTTTCTCATGAGATCATTATTTTTTCGGCCATCAACACATACACAAATCAAACGACAGCATCAAAAATCTTAGGCCATTGGGATTTCCGGGCACCATCATGCGTACGGAGATACCAAGCTTTGCCCTTCTCATGATGCTCGCCCTTCTCAACGTCACAGCCCGGCACTGCCACACCGATGTAGATGTCGCGGTTGTTGTTGGCCGTTGCGCCAGAGGTCACTTCCACCTCCCAGCAATGCACGCCGGAGCTCAGGACCTCTTTGCCGGCCACCTTGGATGTTGATAAGAAATGAAATGAAACACACACGTGTATACATATATATATATATGTATATATATATATGTATATATATATATATGTATATATATATATGTATATATAAATATGTATGTATATATATATGTATATATATGTATATATATGTATATATATATGTATATATATATGTATATACATATATATATATATATACATATATATGTAGATAGCTATATATATATGTATGTATATATATATAATGTATATATATATATACATGCACGTATTACACACACACATAATATATATATATATTCCAAAACATTGTTCCATTTTTTTGTGGATCTTCCATCAATTTTCCAATTTGTGGGCGGATTAAGTGATGGAAAACCCAATTCTCGTGTCGATTCATTGATGAATAAAAGACCATGGAGTTCATCAGATTTGCCTGACGTTTGGTGGATTGCAACATATTGAAACCAATGGGACAATACCATAGCAGCAACCAAATCTCTCAGCAAATATGGATTTGTTTCAAAATAGAGGTACTTCCAAATTTATAAAACGTCCTTTTCCCTACCCAAATAGAGGTACTTCCCTACCAATTCAGGCCACATGCCGGGCATAGTTGCCACCACTCACTTTGCGAACCACACCATCGCCACTGACCTCCATTGTCTTTCCCCACTGGGCCCACATGTCCGACATCCTTTCCACAGGGAGCGAAGGTTCCGGGTGGATCAGTTCGGATCTGTTCCTGCTTGAGCAGAGGATAGCAGTATCAAAGTACCACAGGTATCTTCCTCGATCCTCAAATAGCCTCTATAGCCTATCTACCACAATGGAGAGCACAGAAACAAGGATGGATTCAAAATGGCCCATCTTTCACTTCGGATCAGCAACATCCAACTTGTCGCTTTGCGCCAAGTTTGAATCACCATCCGGGGAATCCCAAAAATCATTGGATGTGCATCGCAGTCAGCAAGTGAAGAAACAAACTCCCATATAAATGGCTATATCAAGGTATATCCCACATCTGTGCAAATTCTAATATTTCACTAACCTGAATTAAGGCCATGTGAGGATGATTTCCCTTACTAACCATGATTTCCAGTGAGGTCGCAGTGAGGTCGTGATGAAATTTACCCAGCCACATGTAACTGGGGTTTTCCATAAATGGCTATATCCACTGGACTAACTGGAACATACTGGAACTGCACTCCCCACCAGGATTCAGAAAAAAACATCTTCAGGATGAAGTCATTGATCCTAGTAATATCCATTGATTGCATCCCCCATGATACCCCGTTAATCACGTTCTTTGTCAGATCTGCGTTGAAGATTGAATCTGATCTTGATAGTCTTGATTCTTGATAGTGAAATCTCACTACCGACTATAGCCCCATGAAATAGTTGCGTTATCCCCATTATCATACCCTTTTTGTTGACAAAAAGGAGTCAGGAGACACCGAAAAAAACCCGGCATCGACGCCGCGGCCACAGATCCTTTGAGGACAAAACGCAATTGCCATGTTCCTGGCGACCGACGTTGTCTCCAACGGAGCTCAAATTGGTTACCAACATTTACCAACCCTCTGGCGTCACCATGGCTAGGCGGAAAACTCCTCCATGGTGGTTTATAAACCCAATTAACTCTAGTATCTATAGTTATAAGTATCATAAACCATACAGGATGGGGACCCCCAGTGATGTTTGTTGGGTTTACAACCCCATCTAAATATAGTTACTTGCGTATCATACACTATAGTATCATAAATATTCCCCATCTAGCCAAAAAGTATATTCCCCATTTAACTATAGTATCATAACTATTATACTTAGTTTAAATAACTATATAACTATGTATTTGAAGTAAGTTACTATAAATAGTATCATAACTAGAGTACATTACTATAAATAACTATAATACTTAGTTCAAAATAACTATTATAGGTTATAAGTTGGTTTATAAACCCTATTAACTATAGTTATTTGCGTACCATAAACCATAGATATTGGAGTTATGTGAGCCCCAACTTAGTGATTCGGAACTGGGGCCTCCTGTCAGCCTGCCCCGAGACTCGAAATGGCTCCTCCATGAAACGATCCCAGGGGAATCTGAGGGCTGAGAGCTCGCGTAAGAGCACGAAGTGTGGATGGGGCCTTAGATTTTGACAGACCTGGAGGAGAGTTTTGTGTTTCCACCCGAAGTGATATATCTATCTATCTATCTATCTATAAATACACACACATATATATATATATATGAAAACACTAAGAAATGGTAGGTTAGTAGGGTATTTAAGAGACCAAATAGTTTTCAGGGACACTAGTTTTACAATGTTTTACATGGGGGTGTAACTCACATTTGAACAGGGGAATAATCTTCGGCACGTTAGTGAAACCTCAGGTGCACTGTTGTGACAGAGTAATAGATGGACGATGATAATTCATCATAGGAACCAACATTAATTCATCTATCGATAGATCTATTCATCCATCGATCCATTCATATATGTACATACATGTATATAATAATAATAACTACATGTATGTTACATATACATATAATTCACATAAATCTCTATCTATCAATCTATCTATAAAAAAACCCTGTATGGAAAATCACCATCTTATAGCTGGGTAAATCAACTATCAATGGGTCATGGATCTATATACATTCAATAAATGTCTGGTTGGTGGTTTCAGCCTCTCTGAAAAATATGAAAGTCAGTTGGGATTATGATTCTCAATCTATGGAAAGTCATAATCCAGTCATGTTCCAAACCACCAACCAGATGTTACAAGTTACAATTATCACCATCTTATAGCTGGGTAAATCAACTTAATCAACTACATTAATGGGTAAATCAACTATCTATACAATGGGTCATGGATCTAAAAAAACATTCAATAAATGTTACAATTGTCTATAGATGGATACATTTTCCATCGATCTTTCTCAACATGATCCCGATTTTCTGGCGAGTCCAGCTGTGGTTTATGGTCGTTTGTTTTCCCGGCTTCTCCGGGACGATTGTTATTCACTGGATTGGTTTAAGGGAAAATCTTAACCGGAAACCCATGGGTTTTTACCATCAAATTCTGAGGGCTTTCCGGTGTAAATTTTCCCATAATCCAATTCTATGATATATATTTCCAATATAATTTGGAAAATACTATTCAGTTATAATTCAGCTATTTGGGAAGATCATCTAAAAGATCATGATATAGCAGCGAAAAAAATAGCATTGAACAATATTGAACATACTATTTTCAGGGACCTTGTATAAATAATTAGAAATATATGAAAGTTTAAGTAGTCCATGCTAGAAACGGGAGCCATGAAGTTTACCAATGGGCCGATGGTGGAAAAAACGCCGAAGCCATTTGGTACCCATGTATCTGTAGATTGAGGGCATCCGTGACCATCTGTGTACTTACCGTAAGTTAACTAACCTTTTTTTCACAAATCAATGATGGAAAATCCAATCTGACTATTGATCTGAAGTGGTTCATCCAATCCCAAGCCTTTTGATGATACAATCCAAATTAGACAGCCTTTACACATGACCACATTCTACCACATGATCTGCTTGATATGAGCCACTCACCATGCTACCTATACTGCCTATACCCGGCCCGAGAAGTTGCCAATTTTTCCCGATAAATCCCTATATAAATCCCACGAAATCTTATGCTAAACACCCAATAACACCCAATAAATCCCAGCCTTATGCACCAACAAATAGCCATGAATTGCTGACCTTTACTGCGTATCTTTCAGTTGAGTGTCATGGTCATGAACTGCATCACGGCTTTGGAGACCTGCGAAAAGGCCAGGGCGGTTAAACCAGGCTGATTCACCAACAAAAATGGTGGTTTTATTGGGATTTAATGGGATATTTCATGGGGATGTACCCTCCAGTAAATTAACATAGACCCTGGAAATGACCAATTTATAGTGGAAACTAGTCTTCCAACCCCTATCTGGCAGGGTTGAACTGTTAATTTACTGGAGGGTAATGGGAATGTAACGGAATATTCATGGGATGTAATGAAAAATACTGATGGAATATCAATGGATATACATACCCGACATATGTGTAAGGGAAATCCCCGAACTAAATGGAGGATTAACGGTGGGAACCATCAACCATAAATGGGGCATTTTTGATTGCCATGTTTGATTTCCGGATGGTATGCCTGTGCTATTTACGGGAAAGCAATCTATAGGATAAAATGGATAAATGGGATGTAACATGATGTAACTAACATTAACTAACCAACAATATGCTTTTGGGATTTTTTGCTGTCTGGAAATTTTCAGTATACCCCAATTCGATTGCTCTTTTTTTCAGCGGGAACATGAAGAAATCTGAAATTTGGATGGGCCTAACTATCACTTGTTGGTGGTTTCAACCAACTCCTCTGAAAAATATGAGTCAGTTGGGATGATGAACTTCCCAACTGAATGGAACGTCATTCAAAATTCATGTTCCAAACCACCAACCAGATCAATTTTATAATCCCAGAAAAAAAAAACCAGCAACCCATCCAGCAACCCTACGGACTTAGCACCAGAAAAATCGACTGATGAACTCTCTTTTTTTTTTGCTCCTGAATTTCCGTCTTCGACGAGGCCAATCCACCAACTTCTTGGTTAAAACCCGGTATGAAAAATTGGTGAGATCCCAAAAATCGCTACCCTCTGGTTATGTCAAAATAGCTATTGAACATGGCCATTTATAGTGGATTTTCCCATTAAACATGGTGATTTTCCATAGCTATGTTAGTTCACCAGAGGGTAACACCAAAAAATGCTTCCTTTTTTTATTTCGAACCTCATGCGCTATTTCACACTTAAACCACTCACCCTCTGGTAAACGTTGACAGTTTGCGAACTTGAACATGGCCATAGAAATAGTGGATTTACCCATGAATAATGGTGGATCTTTCCAGTTCGTTATGTAAACGTTTACCAGAGGGTAAACCACTTAAACCAAATTTTCTGGGTTGATCAGTTTGACCCACAATCTACCGGGAGTTGGCCTCAGCAAAGCGCCGGTCAAAGAACTTGTCAAAGTCAAAATCCAGCTGCGCCAATTTGTGCAAGTCGAACCTCGGGCAGACGGAGATACTGTGGATGGGCCAGCGAAATCCTGCAGTTGATAGGTGGTAAACATCCCATTAGATCCCATTATCTGTAGGGTTTCAACCATCCTTTTGGTGGTGCAGGATTTCGCAACCATCCACAGGTGCCCCCATAGGTTTTATCGGGCACCTCGGCTAGGTCGATGGGTATCCGGAAAGGTGAGGCCAAAGATTGAGTCAACAAGTCTTAGGGAATAAAGGGGACATTCATGTTGCAAATGGGGATTCAGGGGTGCAAAAAAAAAAAACATGGGGATTGAAGGGTTTAAGTGTTTAAACAACAGAATTGTAGCAGTTTTATCAACTGGCATATCCGGCATAAGGATCATTGGTCTGGTTTAGATACAGGAAACCATTGGTTTAATGGAGATATACCTCCACATTGGGAGATAGCACCCCAAAAACTCAAGCAATGGTTAACGGCCCGCCAAACAATGATAGAGGGGTTCTGACCACCCAACACTTGGTAGTAGCGCACTAACTTAAATATCTAGATAAATCATATTACCACCTGGTTATTTAACATAGCCATGGAAAATCACCATTTTCAAGTTCGGTAAACCATCTATTTCTATGGGTCATCTATACCATGGCAAACTGTTAGTCATAACCAGAGGGTATATCCCATTAAATCCCATTAAACCACCATTTTCCCATGGTTTTCCTATGGTTTTCCCATTACTTTCAGGTACCATTGGGAATCTGCAGAAACACAACAAAAAACGCACGTCATTCACCACAAAAACAGAGGTCCCCCTCTTCGGCATCTTTTTTAAGGGCCAGAGGACCAATATCCATCCTGGATGATGCCCATGACGGCGAAATCGATCTCTTCCTGTTGGCCGCTGCGACGTTGTCGAACGACAACTCAACGTCAACGGATGAGATTTTCAACAGCTCTTTATGGTGGAGATTTTCCAATGCGGATAGCTGTGGGTTATATGCTGGAATATAGCCAGCAACTATATGAAAAAAATCTCGGTTGAATGAATGATTATTCCCTCTGGTAATTCAACATTTAGCGTGTTGGAAAATCCCAGCGAATTTCTCGATGAATTTCGATCCAACATCCAGCTAGAGTTTCAGGATTTTCCAGCGATCGCCACATTTTTTCGGACGCCAGAGGGTAAATGGAAATCATCTATAACTGGTGGTTTTTTAAATGGAAACATCATCCCAAACATGGAGCTATTATGATGCCACCGTTCATTTCCAAATATATAGGTGCTGTTGTCTTGCTGTATGCAGTGAAGGTTGATATGACGTCTATTTAATCAAATGTAATGTCAACCCTGGATCAATAAACCCCGTTTACGGCTGTTTAATTGGGAGGGTACCATAAAAAAGTATCAGATGAAATGACTATTGGAGGAGTACCCCCCTAATTAATAAACCATGGTTTGGCAAAATCCGGGGTTGACATTACTCCACTTGCCATGGGACACCGTGGGACATCATGGGACATCCTAATTTATGGCCATCAAATCCATTTGCTGATTACCTCCGTGAAATCCCATTGATTCATGAAACCCAACCCCTCAAAAATCGAATCCAATCCCGTAAATTCATGAACTCTCTTCAAATCCGGCAAACCTCCCTTGAATTCAACACATCCCTTAAAATCCATGAAATCCCATTCAATTCCATTCATTAAATCCATTCAAACCGCTTGACAAATCCATTCAAACCCATTAAAACTCCCTGAAAAACCATCTATTTTCGCATATGATAGATTGTTTATGATGAAATATCCATTCAAAATGGTGATTTCCTGCTGTTCAAAGCTGCCCAAACGACATCTGCAACGCTCGTCCAAGATGCACAGGTTCGCTGGAAGAAGGCGCCGAAGTCGAAGTCCTTCACCTGCGACCGGTTTCATCGGAATTCGTGGGGAAAATCACCAGTTTGAATGGCTAGTTCATCTATAAATAATCTATAAATCATCTATAATAATAAACTGGTGCATCTATACTGGTTCATCTATAGTTGAACTATTCCATTTATAATAATCTATAATCTATCTGCTAGTTCATCTATAAATCATCTATAATCTATAAATAATCTATAATGAACTAGTTATATCTATAATAATCTATTATCTATTATTCTCTATAATCTATAATCTATTATAATAAATGGGTGATTTTTGAATGACATGATTTTTGAATGGCTAGTTCATCTATAAATCATCTAGAAATCATCCTAGAAATCTGCGAAAATCAGGGAATAGAACATCTAGATATGATATTTTTAACCAACGAAATAGCTTTTTGGATATCTCTTTTTTGGATTTAATCCACAGAACATGGTGGGACTTCATAGGGATATTTTCTGGGAGTTTCATTTAAATATCTGGATTTAATGGGAAAACCATAGTGGTTTAATGGGATTTAATGGGATTTAATAGCTATGGAACATCAACATTTTTCAGACAGGATGGCCCCCCCAGTCGAGCGATCGCGTGAACCGTTGGCTTATAAGTGGCTGAATTAACTATGGTTTATGGTAGATATTTCACGAGCTAGATAACTATGGTATTCATGGGGTTTATAAACCAACGTTCACATCACTGGGGGGCCCCATCCTGGAGGTAAATCTGAAGATAAATCACAAAAACACATGGGCAACTTTCCATAGCTATGTTAGTCATAACCACAGGGTAGCGTCGATGTGATCAATGGGAATTCATCAGCTCTAGTCATGGGAATTTGTCATTTGGTATGGTGATTTGACCTACCAAACATGGTGGTATCATGGTGATACGTATCATGTGATTTTTCATAGGCAATAGTAGGAAGAATGGGATATAGTGATGTATAGAAATGTATCATGTGATTTAAACATCAAAATAAATGGGATATTACTAGTTCGTAAACTTGCTCATGATGGGATATTAACATGATTAACACATGATTAATCAACATCTTTGATGTATTTGTTAGTAATTTTAACAAAAGGGGATTCGAACAAAGATCTAATTCACTAAGCTACTGGGGATCAATGGGGATACAATCCATCGGAGATGATTTGGAGATCAAAACCTACAGGATGGGGCCCCCCAGTTATGTTTGTTGGTTTATAAACCATGAAATAATCCCCAAGAACTAGTTCGTTATATCTACCATAAACCATTGTTACCCTCTGGTAATTTAACATAGCTATTGAACATGGCCATAGAAATAGTTGATTTTCCCATTAAAAATGGTGATTTTCCATAGCTATGTTAGTTTACCAGAGGGTAAGCCACTTCTAAACCAACGGTTCACGCGATTTCGACTGGGGGCCCCATCCTGTATGCCAATATTTTGGATGAACAATTGGTGGGTTGAGCTATCCCCAAAATCATGGACAACTCGTCAATTGGGATCATGAAATTCCCTGAATGGAAAAACATGTGGGAATTTCAGGATCCTAAAATGGAGGTACTGTACCATATAAGACCATATTTTGCTGAGATATTCCCTTACATAGGCCTTACATAGGCTTTATATATGGTAGGTACCTCCAATTTAGGTCCCTGAAATGGCCATTGAAAAAACATGTTCCAAAGCACCAACCAGATAGCTATCACCATGATAAAAAGCCAACTATTTTTAAAAGTTTTCCCCATTAAAGTATAGTTATAATCCCCAATCACCAGGGTTAATAAATATTCCAAACCACCAAGCAGACAATCATCAAATCCACCAGTGTACCCAATAGCTATATGACTTGGCTTGACTGGTCCGAATTCATGGAATCTCACCAATGGGAGGGGCCTGAGCACACATGGCTATTGAACAATGGGGGAAAACACCAAGGGGTCACTTTTTTGGATGTACTATTGTATCTATCAGGTGATTATCACTATTATATTTATTATCATATATTATCACTATAAATAACTATATAAATCACTGTAATAGTGAAATCAATTTCAAGACATAGCCTTTTTTGGACGTACCGCCAACAAAGGTAAACATGACTACGAAACTTTGTACTAAGAGTAGTGCTTATGAACATCCACATGGGATTGGTCAATCTAGGGTTGAGATCATCCATGACTACGTACATGGATATGTGAAGTTGTTTCATAAATATGTTTGTCTAATCGTATCACACATCATATGTTACTATGTACATCTATATACACACTACACTATGTATGGCGTGTAATATAATAAATATATATATGATTACATATTTCATATTAATCACTATAATATATATCACTTTTATATACTATTGTATATCACTATTCATATACTATTCATGATATTCCAGTCGGTACACCATTCCAGTCTCCAACACAAACCACCAATCCATAACTCTCGTAACTCTCACCTCCAAGCGAAGCATCACTAGCTCTGTCCAAGCCTGGCCCGGCCATGAAGGTGTCCAAAACTTTGGGGAGTCTATTGGGTCATACACCAAACTTTTGGGAAATCTATTGTGACATTATTGGGACTAGTGACAAGTTGGCAATTCTGAAAAAAACATATGTCCCAAGGCCCCAAAATGAATCGTTTCACCTACGAAATATGAGGCTTTCCTAAGTCATGGGGGTACCCCCAGTTCTCATCCATGTATAGATGGATTTTCCATGAAATAAACCATCCACTATTGGGGTACCCCCATGACTATGGACACCAAGTAGGTCTGACAATGATCCCATTGTCGCCATGTAGCCACGTCGGGATTCAACGGAATGTAGCCCAACAAGACGATTTACAGAAACAAACAACATCATTCAGATTTAACCGATCATAATTGAGATTGAACCAACAAAACTCATTTTTGTACAGGTTTCCCCCATGTTTAGCTTCCATGGTGTGTTTTTCTATAAAAGAAGATGATAAGAAGATGATCATCCACCCCTTAATAGGGTCTAATATACCCACTATACGGATTCCAAATATGGGATGGATGACGATATACCCCATTGTACCAAGAATTCTGACCTGGTTGCCAATTGTTGAAACCTGAGGAACCACTTCCGCTTCCTATGATGGGCACCCAAGTACTCAACCCTTTGGACAGGAGAGTTGGGAGCTACAACCAGCAAGCTACCCTACGTTTGGTGGTGCCCCCATTTTCGATAAGGTGGTTTAATGTGGTTTGTAGCTAGGTGAACTCTCTTGTATGGTAGCTTTATCTATAGACAATGGTCATAAATCAAGAAACATAACTGGAGGAAGTACCACTGTTGGCAACCGGTCTAGTCCGGGTATGGCTTTGTTGGCCGCTGACTTCCAGTAATTATAGAAGCCCCGATAGATGTCTGCCAAGATCAGACAACATACCCTCTGGTAATTTAACATAGCTATTGAAAATCACCATTTTTAATGGGTAAATCCACTATAAATGGCCATTTTCAATAGCTATTTTGACATAACCAGAGGGTAGCCTCCCATTAAATCCCATTAAACCACCATTTTCCCATCCCATCCCATTGTACCGGTTGGTTGCTATCTTTGTGATAATCCCTCCACCAGATGCGATCAACCAGCGCCTTGGAAGCAAACCAGGACTCTCGTAGCACTATATCCAGTTGTTCCTGGGCAGTCTGGTGGTTGTTCATGGTACCCTCTGGTTATGTCAAAATAGCTATTGAAAATGGCCATAGAAATAGTGGATTTTCCCAGCTAGAAAATGGTGATTTTCCATAGTTATGTTAGTTTACCAGAGGGTAAGTGGCGGTTTAAGAATGAAACAGGTTTAGAAGGACTTCCATGTCATATTTATTGATACGGTTTAATTGAGATGATGTTTCTGTTTCCCTTTCTTGGTTGGGAATGAAGCCTCAGTTCATGGAGGTGGGTAAGAATTGATTTTCGCTCGTGATGGTTGTCACTGTTTTGGGGGTCCCCAATTGATAGTGAGGGTTTAGTCTCATCTGGGTTCACAGGATGTTTCAATACTTTTACAATAAGGAACCCCCAAATCCATTGGTATCTAAAAAATTGAAATTGCCATATCTTGCGGTTGAAACTCCAATTTTCAGACAACCCCCACTGTTGATTAGTTCTGCGATATCCCACACAAATATACACATAATATCTCCATTGTTGATGGTTAATCTCTATTATCCCCAATCAGTATCCTTCCCAGTGGCCATAGATCTTACTATTCTGTAGCTGGTTACAACTTGTAAGTTGCTTTATAAAAATCCCATTAACATCCATTAACTATACGTAGTTTATCTATAGTCTATAGCTATATACCCCCCTAACGAACCCTCCTTAACCCCGTGGTCAACGGTGACCTCACCTTGTACCCATCTTCCCATGGCGCCTGATGGCTCTGCAAGAAGGGAGCGATCGGCAAACGCAAGGAGGTCAAGTCCACAATCAGAGCGATCTGCCTGGGGAACGGCTCTTTTGAATGGATCACCTGGGAATGTCCCGGGTGGTGGAAATGGTGATATCTAATGGGATATAAAATCTAATGGGATTTCATGAGATGGGGGGCACTATTTTGGTATCTAATGATTTTGGTAATTTAACATAGCTATGGAAAATCACCATGCTATCAATGGGTAAATCCACTATAAATGGGCCATTTTTAATAGCTATTTAGACATAACCAGAATCTAATGATTTTCTCTAATGGGAACTAGTTCATCCCATGATTTCACTGGTATCTAATGGGATATGGGATGAACTTGATGGATATTCATGATGAGTCGGGGGGGGACTGTTTTAAGGTGACATCACGATTGAACGGTAACGTCCTGAATCGGAGTTTACAGTGTCATAGCAGGGATTTTGCTGGAGAATCCTGACACTATTCCCATTAAATCCCATTAAATCCCATGGAAAATCCCATTAAACCACCATTTTCCTATGGTTTTCCGATGATTTTCTAATGGGAACTAGTTCATCCCATGGTTTCACTGCTATGGTTTTCATAGCTTTTGACCCGAATCTTCTGGTGATTCTGGCTCAAAGCATTGGCTAAGACTATCTAAAACTGCAGGGCCAGGGTTCTGAAGTGGCTGTGAACAGAAAATGTCAAGCGCAACCTGTAAAAGAAAACTGGTTGGTGGTATACCTACCCCTCTGAAAAATATTAGTCAGTTGGGATTATTATTCCCAATATATGGAAAAAAAAATGTTCCAAAGCACCAACCAGAAAACATATTTCGACTCAACATAGGCTACCTTCAAATTGAATGGTTGATCATGACTCTACCCATTCAAGTTGCTTTTTTTGGGGCATCCACCATTTTTGACACATCCGAATACCCTCTGGTAAACTTTCACATAACTATGGAAAATCACAATTTTTAATGGGAAAACTCACTATAAATGGCCATTTTCAATAGCTATGTTAAATTACCAGAGAGTATCTTCCAGAATCATGTTTTGGGGTTCGGTGGTTGGACGTGGCGGTACAGTGGAAGTGGTCTCCGCAATCACCGCTGGTTGACACCTTTGCTGTTTTTTCACCATCAACGATCCATCATTTAGGCTTACATTCCCAGTTTTCAGACTTCATAACCGTTACGGCATGTTCCATTTAAAATCATAACACCCTCCATTTCATGGTGGATTTCCCCATTAAAAGTCAACAAACAAATCATTTTGCACAGCATTTTGGATGGTGAAGCGCCTGGCATCGCGAAAAACCCGGGGTTTTCTGGGTGCCCCCCGGCCGACGGCAGAACGCATCCAAGAGAAGCTCCTACGTCAGCTGATCTGCCCAAACATGTGGAAAACTACTCATTGATTGATGGATATTAAGGAATCTGAATGGTGATAGAATAGGATGTTAATGGAACATATCTGTTTACCAGGATTTAATGTTGATTTGATAGGGATTTAATGGGAATCTATATGGATTATATAGGATTTTCATGGAATACTGTGGGGGAAACATGCATTTTTCACATCTACGTTAGGTTACGGGAGGGTATTTGTACTTGGATTTGCTGGCACAAAAAGTAAGACCTATTCCCATGAGATTCCCCAAATGGTGGGGGATCTAAAAACATGGGATATTACATTCCAATAGTGATGATAGTTACATGGATAAACATGGGATTGTTACATTCCAATAAACAAATAAACCAAAAGTGAACATGGATTCCCTATAATTCTGCACTCCCCTGGATGGATAACCATGATGAAAAAATCTGTTCCTATCCACGTACCAACTGGGATACCCTCTGGTAAACTTTCACATAACGAACTGGAAAATCACCATTCTCAATGGGAAAACTCACTATAAATGGCCATTTTTAATAGCTATGCAACAAATTACCAGAGGATACTAGTCACTATCCAAGCCAGTCGCTTAAGTCGTCTTATTCCGTTGATAGTTGAGTGAACTAACCCCAGTTAACCATGATCCTTCAGGTATTGGCATCTTCACAAGACATTGGAGAGAGATTCATCCAGTTTCATTACCTGGGAATCTTCAGGAATTCCCAAGTCATAAACAAGCAATTCGCAGGATGCTTCCCTTCACAATGTCAACCCTGGATTCATAAACCCCGTTTACGGCTGTTTTTTCAATGGGGGGGTACCAATGTATGATATCACTATTTGGAGGGTACCTGGTACCCCCCGAATGAATAAATCGTGGTTTAACCATCCGGGGTTGATAGCCGCGCTGGGTCCTCCATGGCTTTGTAATTCTTCTCGAAGTAAGGTCTGAAGGTGTAGGGATGAACCTGGCTCCGTAGCTGGTGGCAGCTGACGGACCCGGATGGTACCTTAAAATAGCTGGTGAATGGAGGGTTATTCCCCCAGTCATATGGCAATTTCATAGGTTTTGACCTCTCCCCAAATGAGAAACTACCATACCAACTGCCAAGTTGAAGTTTCAACATTTTCATCTGACCTTATCTAACCATTGGACTTTTTGATCGTCAGGTTTGACACATCCTACCCTCTCTACCCTGTCACCCGCCTCCACTAATTGTCGCATCTTGATGAAATCTTTGCTGGACATCAATGTATGCGCAAATTCCAAGAACCTACGGCGCAATGTCAGTGGCTAAGGGCCGACATCATCCCCAAGCGGTGCTTCGGTCGCCATGTGCCGTCGAATCTGGGCATGGGTCGCCCTCGAGTACTTCTTGAAATGGACTGATTTACTGGTCAACTGCTGTCAAGTATTGACCTATAGCTCGGACTGCTTGCAATGACCCACTGGCACGGCGCAGCTGCAGTGCCGAGCAGGTCAGTCTCTGGTCTCTAAGCTACCGGCCTGGCCAAGTCACAGGACCGCCTTATAGGTCTGACTTTGGTGAACGAAGCCAAAGAAGTTTGTACAGCGGCCAGCACTTCGCAATGGAGTTTCAAAGGAACCCCATCCAATGGTGTAGTGACGCCCCATGGGGATCGGTTGAGTCCCGTGCAAACTGGGGAAAAATCACACCAATGAAAACTCAAATACCTAAAAACCTTCCGCACTATGCCGTAAAAATAGGCTAAAGTGGGGCGCTCAAACTGTGATCTCCGATCAGATAATCGCCAAATCCCATCCATGGGGTTCCGAAATGGGAATTGGACCGGGTCAACAAAAAGCAAACCAAACGTGATCTCCAAAAAACTCACACCAACACACCTCTGATTATCATCCTCATGAGATCGGAGCCAATTGATCACCAACTGCAGAAAGGAAAATGGAAATCCCAGGGTTTGTACAAAATGATTGGGATCAACATCTACCGCCAGACTATCCATAAAACTATACATCACACTAGGCTCCTCATCATCACTAGAGTCAACGGCCACATGAAGTTTGGGATCTTTGTTGCCTTTCGTGCGCTCAAAGATGGCGAAGTAGTATGCCCGCAACTTCTGCAGAAGTCCAATGACGTGAGTCCCAAGCTTTCTGGAATGCTAGCAACTCCTGAAGGATCGCCGGTCTGTCGGCATTGCGCCGTACCGCCAGAGCATCTGCATGACCATTGTTCACTGCTATCCATTCCTCAAATGGGGTCTCACAGCTGTGAACATCCAGGTGTGATGGAATCCATGTCGAGTCCACCAAGCAGCTGGCCCCCTGTCTCAGGAGCTCTTCCACTTTCAACCACAGATCCGCATTCCTGTCTGAAAACCGCGAAACATATCCAGCAAGTCGCTTTTGCAATCCACGGTGGACTTCGAGCGCATCCAGCCAAATATGGGCTGGCACTTGCCACCAAAGAACCCATTTCAAAGCAGCAATGACAGCACTAAGTTCAGCACGCACAATTGTTTGTGGTAATCCCGCCAACCATCCAGAAGCTATGGGCAAGGCTGTGTTGGAGTTGTAAAGCCCCCAAGCCGCCCGTTTGGTTTCTCCTCGCCCCTCGTGTGTGAGACTCCCGTCAGTGAAGAGGTGCTGAAGGCTGTCATCTGTTGGCTCCGTGATGAAGTCGCCAGTGGTGTCCGGCAAGTAGTAAAAATGTGACCGCAGAGCATCAAGCCATGGGGAACGCGGGCAGAGCAAATGGTGCTTCATAGCCGTCGGCACTTGCTCCAGCTCTTCGGTCAAAGAAAACTGTTCCCGTAAATCCGCAAATTTGGGGCACGTAAACAAGTGGCTATGATTTTGGGGACTATTACAAATAGAACAAAGCTGATTTTTTGTCACATCAAATTTGCTGTGAGTCCATTCATCCAGAAAGGTCCCGCTTTGCAATGCCGATTGCAAGGAGCGTTCCAAAGCAGTCAGCGAGTTGTTGCGCCACTTGCTCACGTAGACGTCAATGCCGTCCAGAGCAGCCATCGTAGGCCGAGTCAAAGTTGAAGCAACATACCGCAACCAGGCATCCTCCAAAAGTTGACGGAGCAGAGGCCATGGTGTGAGTAAAAGGTCAAACGTCAAGCCTGTTGGGTCCATCACCAAAGGAGGTTGACTGATGCTCCAACCGATCTTGTTCAAGGCGTCCAAAAGCACTTCGCACGGACCATGAGTAACCTGTCCATCATAGAAGTCCATCCAAAGCTGCCAGCAATCCATCACCCGCGGAGAACGCCCACATACTCTGCGGAAGGTCTGGATCACTGAAGTGATGTGATAAAAGCCAGGATCAGCTTCCATGTTGTCACTCATAGAAAAACGCAGTAAAGCATTGGAGCCAGCCTGCTTGCATCGCAGTGCTCTATTGGCGGCCTGCCTAAGTTGATGCAGGTATCCATCAGCAACTGGGCAAGCCGGGGCCCCATGTAGTGCTGAAGACCAAAAAGCCGAAGGAAGAACCATGAACTTCTGCGCGAGAGGACAAAGGCTGCGCCGCAATCGTTCCCACTTGGGCTGCAGCTTGTCTCCTCGTGCCTTCAAGTTTCTATTGCGCCTGGAGGCCTCAAACGTCATACTTCCGCCAAGTTCCAAAGCGTCACTTTTCAAAGTAAGCCCCAACAAGCGCAGCAAGGAGCGCGATTCCACTGACGTGCTCCAAAAGTATGTTTTGCCATGATCCGATGCTAGGCCCCAAAGCTGAAAGAAACACATGGTCGAAAAGAAAGCGGAAACCACATCCATAACCTTGTGTCCAGCTTCTGAAACGTTATCCACATAGGAAAAAGCATGAACCGAAGGCGCCAATGCGCTGTGGTACACGTGAAATGCCCAGTCTATGAGAACCATCCCCACCACGGACATGGAGCAGCCCTCTGGGAGCCCCTGAGAGCTCAAGACCGCTTCACTCAATGCCGTCCTCACTTGAAATGAGCGCAGAAAAGTGTCCAGAAATGATCTCCAGGGCTGAAGCAATTGAGGTGAAAAACCCACATGAGACGCCAAAGCCATCAATGAGTCGCGGCCAACATTGTTGAAACATTTCTCAATGTCTGTACTAAAGCCAGAAAGCTCAATGCCTTGTTGCAGGCACACCTCGATGAAGCACTGCAATTGGAGCCAGATCTGTGCACATTCCCTGCCGGGCAAAAACCCATGAGCCGCGGCTGGGACTACATTGCCTAGCACTTGTAGCAACGGCAAAGCATTCATTCTGGACCAAGCTCGGTATACGGTACCCAAAATCACCACGGGACGATAGTGGTTGGGAAGGTGTGGCTGGTCTTGCTTGCCTAAGCTGATGACAGTCCCAAAAAGAAGCTGGTCTGGCCATTGCCGTTGTCGACCATCGATGCTGCCCAAAAAGTCCAAAAGGCTGGAGGTGACCCCATCAGGTAGATGTTTGAGATCCTCAACGTCGATCCCATCCACCCCGCGTGCCGGACGTTTGGGAAAGTGTCCCAAAGCTGTCTTCCATCTTGATAGTGGGTCGCCCTCACTTGCAAATGAAAGTTGTGGCATGTAGGCTTTGATGAAGCCAATGATGCGCTCCCACTGGTCTGTGCCCACTACACTAGCTTGTTGCCACCTGGGTCGCCATAAATCAAGCATGGCACTGTGGATCTGCTCCACGGTGGAGTAGTATCGATGACATTGAAGAAGGTCACCTGGTTCAATTCCATCAGGTAGACATTGAACCACCAGAACATCGCCATCAGCGGAACAAACATCAAGTTGGGTGTTGTTGATGTACCAAACACAGCCGAGAAGTCCAGAGACTGGTTGGTCAACATGAAGCTGCAGCCCATCATAATCTACGGCCAAAACCGTTAGATCTCCAGTGTGCCAAAGCAAATCGAGTTGTTCACGCTGCGGTGGACGGAGCTCCTTGAAGAGTTTTTGACAACTCGCATCATACTTTTGCTGCAGTAGTTGTTTCCGCTGCCGAAGATTCCATCTCTCATAGGCGGCGAAGTTGATCTTGAAGTCCAAAAAGATCAGCTCCGCCAATTGGCCATCAGGTGGCACCAAGGGCAGCACTTCAGGAGCTGAAGGCAGTTTGTGCCTCCGGGTCGGCCACCAATCAGCAAAAAGCCCCTCGAAGCCACGCCCACGCTTGATAGCAGTCCAAAGGTTCAAACGATAAACCTCTGCATCCAAAGTCAACTTGTTGGCCAAGGCGGCATGCTTGTAGCTCTGCAGACGTCGTAGTTGCTTGAACCAAAGCTGCACTGATGCAGAGATCAAGTCGGATCTCAATTGAACTTCACCATGTCGTGATGGCTTAGCCACTGGTGCTGCTATGGGACCTTCAAGGGGTTCAGTGCGAACTGCTCTGCCCCGAAAGTTCGGCATCAAACGACCTTCAGGATGTGTCTTGACACAACCATCCAAAAAGCGCCCTCCCAATGTTGAGCCCAACTGGTAAAGAACTCTGTAGAAGTTTGCGTGTCATGAACTGGTAAGGTCGAAGAAACCAGTTTCTGACGCCATCGCTCAACATCTATCTGTTCCCATGGAATGGAAGTCGGCTTTGGCCACGTACGGATAGTAGCGGCCCCGTCAGGTACCAAAAAGTCAGCAAACAAAGTGACATGGTCTGCAAAGACTTCGTGAACCCCAACATGATGGCACAACATAGCAGCTTCTGGCGACATCCAGATCATGTCAACCACTGTGGCCTGCTTGCATGTCTTGGCAACGGGCCGTTGCCAGCAGGAAAGGGCATGTAGTTGAACTTCTTTCCAACCATACTGTTCCCACAGTCGGAACTCGTCCTGGCGGTCGATGGGACTGTTGAAGTCCCCAGCGATGAGCCTTGGTCCTGTGCCACCAACAACCACCTCCCTGGACAGAGCGGACAGAAGCTGTCCATTGAGCCGCCGACTGTCCGGCCAAGTAGGCCCCGCAGGAAATCCATAACAAGCTGCCACAAGAAAGGGAACATCTTGCACCAGGTGTCTGGTGAGCAGCAAGCGGCCTGAAGATCTCTCCCCATTCTCCAATGCCATGTGGATTTCCCGTGATGGAAAATCACTCAAAACCCCAACTCCTGACCATGTGCCAGCTTCCAAGGAGTTGGCTCGGTATGGGACTGGAGACCCAAAATGAGTCCTGACCTGTCGATTCAACTTGGTGGCAGCTTGTGTGACGGTGAATGCCACCGATCTCTGAGCCGCCAGTGTCAAATGAGTCTCTGCAAAACACCAAATGCCGCATCCCAAACTGAGTGCTGCATGTTCTTTG